TGTTCCTGGCCAAATGTTGTATATTTCCGGTTGATAAGGGTTAGCAAAATCACAGTTTATAGCTTACATGGTTATAACAGTTTCCTAGTAGACGTGTCTCTTCTCTGTTTCTTCTTTGGCCTTGGTCTTTTTATACGAGTGGGCAATGTTTTCTCGAACGTTCGATCAATACCGGTTATGGAAGTGGATATATTGTTGATTCTTGTGTTCACGAATATTCTACTATATTGGAAAAAATCGCGGAAGTTTCACCATACGTAACTAACACGGTAAGCTAGACACCCCCTTAAATATAAACTTGTTCGAAACAAACGTTAAAATAAATATATAACAAATTCATTATACATAAAAGATATCTGATACTAAAAGTCATGTATATTTCTAAAAACAAATTCAATAAAACAACGTTCATATTAAAAATAAATACATAATAATAAATTTGTTACAACATATATAACTAAATAAAAGATGAGCACAGAAACTAAAACAACATGGTTTTTCTTGTTTTTACTAAATGTTTAAACTGATATATTTTTTAACTTACTTAATGTGACCAATAAAAAGCTTGCAGTCTCGACGTTACTAAAATCACTTGATTTCTTTTCCTTTATATGCTGTCTGACATTCAGTTTGTCCTTAATGTTTTTTAAGTTTCCAAATACTAGGAAATTTAGTTAAATTAGAGGATGTACATTATAGAAGAAAAGGTGAACGCTACATCGTTTTAATAATATTAATCTCGGTAAACTAGTTTTTTTGTCTAAAGATAAATATTTACTGTGTAAATTGATCTTGGAGCAGCTGTTTTGATATTGCTTTTAAGACTAAGTAAATATTTTTTTTTTTTATTGATCGTAGAAACACTAAAGTTCTTATTCTTGTTCCCTACAGGAATTGTTGGATGAATATATGGCCAAAAATAAGAAAAAACGTGGTGATAAAGGCATTGATCCCAGTTGTTTGAGATGGCGCCCTTACACTCCAGTTAAGTGATTCATAAAAGTGATAAACACCACCACTGTGCTTTATTGTTGTCCTCAATCCTGCCAACTTTTATCAGCAGTTGATATGTGGGAAGGTTAATGATTATTTTCCATTTAATTCTCATATATTAATTTCAGTTATTTTTTCCCAGAAAGTTTGTGAACAAAGATGAAGAAATGCTGTTTTTCTATTAAGCCTGTATTATGCACTATACTCTATGACATTTTTCTGTAGTTACTTAGCATCCACAATACTGAATCTAAAAAAGATAATAGCTACATTCAGGGAGGAATAAAAGTCTGTTGGTTGGTTTTCAGCCAATACCTTGATTACCGTAGTTTATTGAAATGTAGAGTATAATTCTTTCAGGAAAGATTTCTTTAACTTAAGGAATAATTTGAGATATTTTCATTCAAGTACTTTAAAATTTAAAAACTACTTACCATGCTTCCTCTCTATTTAAAACTTATGAACCTCGGGATCTCAATCCCAAGATTATGACTTGAAACATTTATAAGATAAATCTCACAGTTACTTGTACAAACTTTATGCATTTAATTCCTTTTTAAGGTTATGAAGAGTAGTAGTGAAATCGTTATGCCTACATAAAAGACAAGTTTTCAACATATTTGTGCTCGTGGGATCTAGTAGTGCCATTTCTTGTGATCTTTAGTGTGAAAATCTGATCAGTTTAGTGAAGTCATGAGTTAGCTACAGTTTTTTTTTTCATTATTGAGTTTTTATATATGTTCTAGATTATTTAAATGTCCAGTGAATTTTACCACTGGTAATTAGTTAATTTGGTATATAAAAATATGCACTTTAAAAAATTCCATAATTTCTTTAGAAAATGAGTTACAAACTTCAGTACTTGATTTTGTGGACTTATCTATGTAATTTTATGGTACTTGGCAAATAGGTTTCCTTTTGCTGCAGTAAACTGTATGAATAATCGAGAAGATTTTGCTTCAAAAAGTACCAGTGCTAAGGTACAAAAGTAACTTTTGTATTAAAATGAACATATTTATTGTTTATACTCTTGTGTTATAAGGTTATATGCTGAGGTACAAATTAAAAATTTGATGATTTTGTGTAAGATTACAATATAAGTGTGTAGCATATTATAAGAAACGAAGCACCACATGCCATTAGCTAGACTGATAGTGACTTAAACTCTCTGAACCTAATCAATATATATATATATAATAAAATGAATTAGCTCAAAAACTGAAACATGAGAATTAAAAGATAAAAAAGTGTAGCTTTGTCGTCATCTAAAAACTCTATAGTAATAAAGGAGACGGAGAAAAATTTTCGGAACTTGGTTTTATGAGGTGGGGTAATGTCATTGGGGAAGCCACAGAACTGCTTAGTAAAACATAGATATTGTGTACAGAGAAAAAAAAACAAACTTGATTTTATTATATCGTTGCCTACCTTAAAAACTTCCTTATCATCTTAAGGTTCAGAGAAGGTGAAATGTCTATTTTGTTAAAAACGTATATTTATGTATGTTTTGTGTTGGTGTAGAGATGGTAATTGCAAATACAAAAACAAATTACAGTGGATTCTTAGTTACCTGATTACTCCTCTTTTGGGGGGATTAGTAAGTGATTCTATATTTTAGAAAGATGCTGTAAAATATGCATACATTGAAAACAGTGATAATTATAAGTTTAATCACATGTTTATTATCATATTCACAGATAAAAAAATTTTTTTTTTCTTTTGCATTTAAAATGTCACTGAAAAGGGAAGTCTTGTGATATGCCTGTACTGTTCATATCACACACCTGACTGTTAGTTAAGGTTTTACTGAAGTCATTGAAATGTACCTCCAAGTAAGAAGCAAAATTATTCATGGAAGATACAAGAGAAAAAGAAACTTAACTGTGCAGAAGATAGTTTTTAAGCATGATTGTTTAATTCTGGAAAAAGCTAAAGTATGTACTGGAATGTAGATAGCTTTAACAGACTGTTCATTTTTCTATATGTGATTTGTTTGTTTAACCTATACAAAGTTTGAAGAAAGTTCAATTTTATAAAGACAGTTATAAGTGCAAAGAGGACATGTGAAGGTGAGGAAGATTGCCATTGAAGCAATATACATATTTAAATTATCTGTTAATTCATTATAACTTAAATTAGTATCTATTACTACACAGTGATATAGTAGTTAGGTTTATCATAATTATAATTCACTTTTGTTTTAAACTTAAAGATTAGTAAACTAAGTAACATTTATTTTGTGGAATATATTTTCTGAGCAGTCACATGTGAGAGGTCATGTTTGACAGCTTAAAAACTTAGTTCCAACTTTTTAATGTTGTAGTGGATATGAGTGTCTTGTTAGTAAAAGTTGTACGTAGAAGTGAGATTATGAATCATTAGATTTAATTAGAAATAGTTCTTCACCATATTGAAGTATCAGAGTTGCACTAGATATTGTCTTGATAATCCTGCTATTCAGATCCTGTAGTAGATATTAAAAGACTTATTAAGTTGTATCTCAGTCTCTTATTTTCTCTTATCTCTTATGATAAGCTATCTAAGTTAAAGGGATTTTATCTGGTGATTGATAAAGCCAGTGTAGCTATACATTAACATATATCAACCATAATCATTATGTGTGGGAGTACAAATCTGGATTTTACACACTACGGTGAACTGATACAGTTACAAATGTACAAGATATTTTTCATAATTGGCAGTTTTTCCTGGTATTCCTTTTTTGATACTTTTTTACTTTCATTGCATATATTTTTGATATGTTAATGCATCACACATTGTTATGTACAAAACTACATGTACCTGGAGTGAATTTATTTGACGTGTTTTGTTTTTGTTACAGTATAAATAAATTTTTCACTCATGATTATCATAATACAGATCAGTCACAACTGCACACAATGATGCCATAATTAGTGCTTTCTTTTTGGAATATATTTGCCAGACCTTTCTACCTTACGTTGCTCTTGTATTTTGTGAAATACTTTTAACAGAAAATATTATATTACTGTACTGATTATAATGTAAATAAAAATATTCAAACTGTTTCTGGAGGACTGTTGTTTTATGTGATGCTAAATGAATATTAATATCAATATTCTGAAGTATATTTCAGTATCTGTAGAGTATCTATCATAAGACCAGCATTATAGATTTTTAGTACTTGTGGAGTATCATAAGACCAGCATTATAGATTTGTTAGTACCTGTGGAGTATTATAAGACCAGCATTATAGATTTGTTAGTACCTGTGGAGTATCATAAGACCAGAATTATAGGTTTGTTAGTATCTGTGGAATATCATAAGACCAGCATTATAGGTTTGTTAGTATCTGTGGAATATCATAAGACCAACATTATAGATTTGTTAGTATGCGTAGAGTATCATAAGACCAGCATTATAGATTTGTTAGTATCTTTGGAGTATCATAAGACCAGCATTACAGATTTGTTAGTAGCTGTGGAGTATCATAAGACCAGCATTATAGATTTGTTAGTACCTTTGGAGTATCATAAGATCAGCATTACAGATTTGTTAATCTCTGTGAAGTATCATAAACTAACATTATAAATTTGTTAGTATGTGTAGAGTATCATAAGACAAGTATTATAGATTTGTTAGTAGCTGTGGAGTATCATAAGACCAGCATTATAGATTTGTTAGTACCTTTGTAGTATCATAAGACCAGCATTACAGATTTGTTAATCTCTGTGAAGTATCATAAAACCAATATTATAAATTTGTTAGTATGTGTAGAGTATCATAAGACAAGTATTATAGATTTGTTAGTATGTGTGGAGTATCATGAGACCAATATTATAGATATGTTAGTGTCTATGGAGTATCATACGAGAAGTATTATATATTTATTTCATGTGTAACTACAAAGCCAAAATATAATAATAATTAGAAACTGTGCATAATATAAACATCTGGAGTAACACATACAGAGACCAAAAGTTGCAGAAATAATATTTTTGAGTTTGTTTGTAGACATATTTATTGAACTGCAAGTAAATATATAGTTTGTTTGAAAAGATCATTATTCTACAGTGTCTGAGGTACAAAAGAAAAATTAATAATTTTCAATAGTAAATAAAGTTTATGCTGCATAAGTGGTATACAGGAAACATGGGTAGCTCTAGAGTATTAAAGACAACAATGGGTAAATAGAGATGAAACCTTAGGTCGAACATCATACTCAATACTGCTGTTCATTTATATGACTAATCTACTTATAGTAAGAACTATTAGAACCCGTGTGTTTCTTTTACACAAGTGTGTTACTTTTTTTCATTTCTTTTGAGCTGAGTGCAACCCAGTGGTTACCTCATAGACTTTGAATCTGATGTACAGTAGTTCATGGCCTGTTACAACACCAACAAAAAAACATGCTTTGCACTTTGGGGTTGAATTTGCATTATGAGTACTGATCAAATCCTACTATTTGGCCTGACTAGTTGGCAATAGGTGGTTTTGACTAACTGTCTTCTTCCTAATTTATTGATTCAAAATTAGAGGTGGCTAGTACAAATAACCCAACACTAAAAACTGGGTTTTGTTACCTGTAGTAGGCATGGCACAGGTAGCCCATTGTGTAGATTTGTGTTTAACTATAAACAAATCTAAGTATCTTTAGGGTAAATGGTAAATATCAGTTTAAAATATGCTTCAAAAACCTTTCAAAGTAACCTTACATAATAGTTTTTGGTGAGAGCTTCCATGTGTTGGTCTGGAGAAGTGAAAAAAACTGTTGATGTCTTGAAAGAAACATTATTTGGTTTGTATAAAAACTGTTTCAAATGTAAATGATTAAGTTTCTCAAGTGACATTGAAAAATGACCTGTATCTGTTAGTTTTCAATGAAATTTAGCTTACCAAAACTATTGCACTGAAAGTAGCCAACAAATGCTTGAGCAATGGTAAAAAATATGAAGCATATACATGAAAATGTTTCTAATCTGTATTTCACTTATGACTGGGGCTTAAGTGTTACAAACAAAATTAGGCATCACATCCCTCACTGTGACTGGCCTTGGGTCCAACTTCTCACTTATAAAAAAAAAAATATATTGAAAGTGGGAGAATTTTTCTACACAACTGTTTGCCAAATATGAATGAAATTTTTCAAAGCAATAAATTATTTAAGATACACATTCTGGGTAGCCTTCTTTGTTGGTAGGTATTTAACCAGGGCCAGTTGGAAATTTGTTTTTTTCCCCTTCATCCTGCTCTTGGTTTATTTGATGTATTATTTCAGAAGAATAGGTATTTTGTGTGTTGGTTTTGACTGTCTGGCTTTGAGCAAGAGACAAGAAAAGCAGAGGAGGGTACATTCTGGGGAGCCTTCTTTCTTGGTAGGTATTTAACCAGGGCCAGTTGGAAATTTGTTTTTTTTCCCCTTCATCCCGCTCTTGGTTTATTTGATGTTTTATTTCAGGAGAATAGGTATTTTGTGTGTTGGTTTTGACTGTCTGGCTTTGAGCAAGAGACAAGAAAAGCAGAGGAGGGTACATTCTGGGTAGCCATAAGATTTCATTCTATATAAATGAAAATGGTAGGATATAAGTACAGATTTGAATTTACCTAGGTGGATACCAAACTCAACAGACTTAAAGTCTTTTTGGTTAAGTTTGGTACCTGCCTGGGTAAATAGGAAAGCATAGGAAGGTCTAATGGAATGAGTTATAAAACACCTTGTTCAGATTGCTTGATTCTTTGCACCTGAAATAGAAAGAAATTGTTTAGAAATTAACGTTTTGCCCTCTTAAATTACATATTGACAAGACATATCACAGTGAACCTATCTTGTCCATTGGATACTATTCTACAAGACATATCACAGTGAACCTATCTTGTTCATTGGATACTATTCTACAAGACATATCACAGTGAACCTATCTTGTTCATTGGATACTATTCTAACTTATTTATTAACATGCATTTACAGCCAATTTATTGAAGCACATGATATTCTGTCAACTTAGGCAGCCAAAAACAAGCTTGAAATGATTTGGGCTTACAAATTGAAGAAATTATCCAACTTTCCAAAGACATGCATCTCAAAAGAGGATTTGAGATTCAGTAATAAATTATGCAAATTTCTCTGCATGTTTATTGAAATGGGACTTCACATGATGAAAAGTTTGTCTTGAAGCTGCATGGACTTCAACCACTCATCAGTTGCACTCCATAAGATGTCTGGATGAAGATCACCAGAGCACCTGATGAAGTACAATTAACTAGTGGGAAGTGTCTTCTTGCGGATAGACCTTTGTCTAGCTGGTAATCCACAAGCTGAAAATTAATAGACACACACACACACACACTGACGTTTATTAGACTTGAATTTGTACTAAAATATACAATCACAGTTTTGAAGAATTTTTAATATTCTATAGGATATTTGTTTTATATTTTGAACAATAGTTATATTTTAAGTAACCTAGAATACATTTCTGGAAATTTCAAAAGTTTAATCTAAAGCACTTTTTATTTTCTAAGTTCATAAGATACTTACAATCTAGTAATCAAAGTCAGTAAAGTGCAGTAGTATTTTGTGGTCTAGATTCAATCACTGCAGTCAAATATTTTTTTTTATAAATCGATATATTACTCAATTATTGATAGAATGCCCACCCTTTTTATCAGAGCTGGTGTTTCTTATTTACTTCCCTTTGAAAGTTTTCAGTCTGTAATTTTTCTTGGTCATACTGCAATGCTTAAAGTAAATTGTAGGTTAAACACTTTGAACATTTGCAGTTTTGATATTAAAGTTCCACTTTAAGTTGATTTACATAAAATTAACGTGCTTTGTTTCTAGTTAAAAAATATGCAATAATAAACATCATTTTAATTAGGACTGTGACCTGATTATCTCCAATATTGAATGAATGGCTTCTTTACACAGTAGTGAAGAACAAACAAAAGATGTATTACATTCTTCAGTTAAGAAGTATTAAAAGATACTGCCACTCTTATTGTGATAATTCATTACACTTTTCTAGTATCAGATATTAATGATGTGGACAGTTTAGATAACCAAGTGAGTAAGTATTCATAGAAACCAGGCTTTAGTTTGAAGACCTAATTTATTCACCCTTCAACATTTGAAACACGTAAACTTTATGATAATTTTTCTCTAACACTGATGAAGATCGAGTTTTTCCTTATTATATTCATAAAAACCACAAATTAGAATGCACAGATCCCAAAGGAACACATGATGAACTTCATATATTAGAGAGGTGAAAAAAAAAAACACTTCGTTTTTACGTGGGAAATTTTCTCCAACTCATTAACTAAGACGTCATAGCTGTTTAAGGCTATAATGTAGGTATTTATATTTTATTAAATAAATATCATGGACATTTACTATGTAAAATTCTTAACGCCAACAACTCATTGTTCAAATGAAGACTCCGATTAAAGGATCGTAAGTTGCAATTAGAATAAAAGTTATTTATTTAGTGGAAACATGGTAGTTGCCAGAAAAGTT